ACTTCTTTTATTTTTAACATTAGTCCTCTTCTAATGGAATAAGTCTTTAAAGACTGGATGTAGAGGAAGGCTGTAAAACTAAAATAGCCTAAGTCCTCATTAGCAGCTGAGATCTGGTCCAGTTCCGTTCAGGTAGTCAGGCACAGCCTTACAGATGCGAAATGCCTCCTCAACCCATGCTGCGCCAACCCTGTTTGAAATAATAATCTGAATTTATAGGCTGCCCTTGATGCACACCCAGGGAATTCATCAGGTGAAAATGGGTAAATACAATGTAGGTGCCTACATCTGAGCAGGGGTCTGAGGTCAGAGAAGAGACATAGGTATTTTAGATTGCAACATCCCGAATGCCAAAGCAGTCATTTAAAAGAAGCTGGATGAATTGTGCCTGAAAAGTGCCTGTTTCTTTCCAGCGGTTATACAGGGAAGCTGTGCTAATTAGCCCTGACGTAGAGCCATCTGCCAGGTAAACATCTCAGGTTTGTTGTGGTGAGTCCCATCTCAGACACCTGTTTCTCCTGCCTCGGACCTGGACCACCGGTGGCGCACACAGAGCTACGTTCCTTCAGGTTCAAGGAAACCATGACACGCATGAGCTTTGCACTCTGTGTTTCAGTGCCGGTCTCTTATTTAAGGCCACTTTGTTCTGTAGTAACTGTGGTAACCTGGCAAAATGTCTGGCCTCAATATTGAGAGTCCTGAGCCCCCACGGCTCCCATGCTGACCTCAGCCTAGCCAGTATATATGAACACATGCCAGACGTCGCTGGACACAGGCATTCCTTTGTGGGAATGCTGTTGGGCCATAGACACAAACTCTGCCCCATGGCATATTTGAGTATTGAGGATTTATTTCACATTTTTTTCCATGCCTTTCTGAAAGAAAAGCCTTTCCGTGTGAGATGTTCTGATTTAGCGTGACGACTTCTGGGGTGAGTTGTCACTGTTTAGCTGGTGGAGCTACCCTGAGAACGCATATATTCATTCCTGGGAAAAGATCCACCAGTGAAGTGAATTTTATTTGCTAAACTTGTTCATATAAATTAACAGCATGACAAACATCCAGAAGATAAAGAGATCAGACCCATGCTGGTGGTTCCCTAGTTGAGGATTGCTAATCCCACAAAGCCATTGTTTGAGGATGAGAATTCACTGCAAAGCCTGGCCAACTTTGCTTTCCATGAACAAACAGCATGTCTATGCTCTGGTCCTCCCTCACCTCAAAGATTTACACAAAGGGAGTAACTTTGCCTTCTTTCTCCTCCCTGCGTGAGAAAGAGCAAAATGCTTCCTTCCCTGCCAAAAGGATTCCAACCCTCATCTGAAGCCCTGCTAGCTCTGATTTCCTCCAACCTCCCTGCTGCCTGGGGCTCCACGCTTTACTTAGGTTCCTGCCCTTTGCCATGCAGTGCATGTTGTGAGGTACAGTTTCACTGTCTTCTTCTGGTGTCAGAACACCTACGTAAAATCAGCTAGTCAAGCAATCCCTCCTTCCTTCATCCCCATCCTTTGTTTGTCCTGGACTTTAGCTGTGACTCTTATCTGACTTGGTTTATCCACACTGTAAATCCTCTGAGGCAGGGAATGAGTTTCACCAACAACCAAGTGACCAGGGCTTTAAAAAGCCACCCGGGGAAGCTAATTCTAAGATGAGAACTAAAATCACCCCCATCCTGTTGCCAGCTGTCCTGCCTCCCCTGCAAGACATGTGGCACTCCCTCTTGCTTTCATGTAAGGCTTTAAAGCTATATAAACGGATATTAGCAGAGTCTCATAAAATAATATTGCACGAGAATAGCCATGGGGCAGTTCACAGATGCCCAAGCAGTTCTGATTGCTTCCTAGATTCCTATGTTGTTGTCAGTGGAAGGCTTCCAGAGAAGCACTAGATGACAACCCAAAGACAGAGAGGCTTCAGTTAGCTGTGCAGGTGTACAAGGGCAGAAACAATTTCTTCCAAACTAATGCTGAGAATGTCCTTATAAAATCCTCCTGCTTTGACACAGCGCTGTGAAATTTTTGGTCTTTGATTACGGAAGAGAGTAAAGACACTGTACATCAGTGTTCAACAATGTCAAACCACAAGGAAACGTGTCAGAAGATGAAGCTTCAACAGTGCTGCAGAGATTTAAATAAGAGAGGAGAAATTCACACTGCAAAGCTTGTGAAACTTCCTATTTTCAGCCTGCTTCTTCCAAGAAGACTTTGCTTACCAAGACATGCTTTCTTTAAGTGTAGTTATAGAGCAATCTAAAAATTATGGCATCTTTGGTGGGCATGTTGCCCATCAACATTGCTGCAGGCGTGTTAAGGGTAAAAACAATTTGATGGTCACACAAAATGTGAAAATCTTTCCTCTGTAGCTTCTGCTCTTCACAAACTACAATTTTACTGTTCTTGCCTGAAGTTTCATGTCTTCAGTAGTTACCCAGTGTAGTTGAATCGTATATTTACTGTGACTAGAGGGAAAACCCCACGTGATTACTAAATCCTGATACAGTAAACAGATTTTTCTGTAATGAACATCTGGCACATCCAGTTACTTGTATTACTGTCTCCCCAATTAGGACCCTCAGCACCAACCTAAGCTTTCTCAGCTGCAATGCTTGGGAGTGATAATGCAAGAAAGGTATCTGCAAAGACAGGCAAACCTTTACCAGTGATTTAGCAGGTGTCATGGACACCCAGTCCCTTAAAAATGAACACATTTGTAATTAGGTATGGCACAGCATTAGTTATCTCTGCTTTCCACCTCATGGCAGCAAGGGAGAGGGAGCATTCTGTTTATGGTATGGATGGCTCTGCAAGCTGCTGTGCACCCCCAGATTATCAAAATACAACCCTGTCTATGGGTGGATCTCTTCACAACCTTTCCTTCAGCCCTTGCTTTAGTTCCCAAGTCAGAACTCAGAATGCTGGGCAACAGATAGCTGGGGCCTTTCCAACTTCAGCCAGCTGTCTGGAGTCGATTTCTCCTCCAGTTGCCTTCTCAGATCAGATTTGGGGATGGACATGGGAACTCTTTATGTGCTGGAAAACTTTTTCAACTTCTTGCCAGCGTCTGACTTCGACAGGGGAGATAAACAGTAGAAAAGCCATGGTAAGTTAGTGCCCATTCCTAAGTCTTGAGGCATCTGGCCTTCCAGTCCAATTCAAATTGCAACTCACTATGACAATCCGCTCCTTACTACCACAAATAAGAGTATAAACCCATAGTCAGTCTGGTTTTCATGCACTCACTTTTCAGACACTGAATGCTGACTTTTCCTGTGTGTATTTCCCCTATGGATTATGATTCCAGAACAGGAGACGTCACTCATTTACTAGCTGCTGTGTGGATCCGTAGTCCTAAGATATCTCTTGGCTAAGATCCTGCTAGAATGACTTGTCTCTACTGCGCTGCCAGCTCTCATAAAACAATACAGATGGCAATATTTATGCTCGTTGAGCGGTCTTTGAAATGAATATAAGAATGGCTCAGTAGCACCAGCTTTCACACATTCAGCAGTTCCAATCCTAAAATCTCACTTAGCTCTTGCTCGGTCAGAGCTTTCTGTGCTTTCCATGGGATCCCTGTCCTAGCATGGACTCCTCAATTTGGCCCCTAGGCAAGATGCTTCATAACAGAGCTGATATGTTCATAATGAAGTTTTTTTTTTCCCTTTAATTTTCCTAGAAGTCTAACAGCTTTGCAGAAGACCACCAACAGATCTGTATAGTCCTAAGCACAGGTGGATCTGGATTGTATACTCTGGAACTGCTCAGCTCTGGATCTACCCTTGTGGTTTGAAGCACCCAAATTGTAGACTAAGCTCTTCTCTTGGGAGACAGATGGCCAGTTCTGGAGTCATGGGGCTTTGCGCAGCCTTGATTTGTGCTAAGATATATCCACCACTAAATATGGGGACATAAGAGAACAAAGAGTCTCTTGTCTTGAGAAGCCTCCCTTGTAATTGGCCTTAAACGAATGGCAGTCACTAAGCGGGGGAAAAAAGCTTCACTCAGGAGAAGAAACTCAAAAGTAGGTCTTCATTTTTTGTGGGTACTATGGAACGAATGAGAGTGATGTCAGATGCAATATAACATCGGAGTAGAAAGGCTAACAGAAAAAGACAGTAGCACTGCACTGGCTAGTTCTAGACATGAGCTACCCATTAAAAGTAAGTCAGAATCCTCAGCTTAATTTTGTATATATGCCATGCCAAGCCCCAGCCTGTCTCTGGGTGTTTTAAAGCTGCAAGAGGAAATTTGTCTTCTCAGAAAATATCTCCCTTAGTGGCAAAGACACTGTGTACGCAAGAGCACCGGCAGCTTCTGGCGGCTTCCAAACACTAACAGTTCCTTGCAAAATTCCCAGATGAAGAGAAATTCTTCCAAACTGCCATAATATTCATTAAAACCTTTCTGGTCTGATCCAGTTCGGTCTATGAATATGTTCTATGCCCATGCAGAAGCCAACTGTTTGCCTTCATTTGCTATTTGCAGATAATCCATTATAGCATTATGTGGTTGGGTCCAGAAGGCAAATACGATGGAGCTATACCAGGATTAATTTGGTCCCTGATATAATGCACACACTGGGCACAACCCAGAGGGAACGGATGGCTCGCCGGCGAGGAAGCGAGTGTTTTCTCTCCAGGTGGCTGGCTCAGGTTGGTTGTCCTGGCAGAAAGAGGTCTTTGTTCTGCAGCCCTACACAGCTTGGACTTTCCAGGAGTTCAAAACCCACAAATAAAAATGTAAAGCCTTAATGTCTGGTCTAGCCCTCATACAAGGTTTCTCTGTGGGCAGCTACGGGTTTTAGTGTGGCTACTACTTGTTTACACTTGTGTGAGAAGAGTTTTTGAAGCCAGAGAGCTCAAAAGAAACCTTTGTAAAAGTGTTTGTTTGTCCACAGGTGTTTCTACAGCATGAGAACCCGACGGCCTTGTTTCCTGGCCTCTGGGGAACAGGTCATCCGTAGCTGTATCCCGTGGGAAGGGTTTGACATCACGCACTTACCTGACACAAAAGTACAAAACAACCGGTCCTGACTTTTTGGGGAAGTCGTGTTCCAGCACCCGGCGGTCCAGCTGAAGCCAGTTCAGGTGTCCCCTGGCAAGAGAAGAGACAGTTTTGAGCCCAGTACCAAAGAGATTTCTTGCTGCTCGTTGCAATGAGGTCTGAGGTGTTACAAAAGATGAACTGAAGCGCATGCTATTTGCCCTCGGCTGTTGCATGATATTTGAAAAACACACAGTAAATGTTTGAGGAGCAGAGGCGATTCATCCTGGCAGCGTTTCAGTCTGGGAATCAAACAGCTAAAGTTCAATCTGTCAGGGTGAAAGCTGGCAGCACCGAGCAGGCAGGACAGCCCAAAATGTTATGAGCTTCACCTTTTTATTACAGTCCCCTGGAGCAGTCGTATCATTAAAAGTCTGTCAAGTTTTTCATTAGAAATCCTTATTGTTAAGAGTTTCCACAACGCCTGCAATATTTCACTCAAGGCTAAACCTGACTCTACTGCCTCAGACAGTTTATTTACCACCCACATGCCTGCAATAGCCTCTCTAGTTTTGCCCAGCCTTCTTTTTTCCTCCTTCTGAAAGCTCCTGAAAAACAGCTGCTCCATGAAGCGTTCCAGCTCCAATTACCACATGCTGCTTTTCTTTTGCCTAGATGGTACCTGTCGCTATTATCTTCTCCTATAATTTATCCATTCGTGCCTTGCTGCTGGAAGCTTTCCTGGACAGGAGCTCTGTTCTTTGTCACGTTCCCCACATTGTAGGGCGCTGTGTGTGCGTGAGAGGTATTTTATAAATATCATTATTCGTATTACAGGGGCATCTCACTCCCCAGCTGAGATAAAGGCCCTGTTAAATTAGGCACTGTGGAAATACACAGGGTAAAATTCAGGCCCCACTGAAGTCAGCGGGAATTTTGCCATTGCCTTCAGTGATGCTGGGGCTGCATCCTGTGAGCGTTTTGCTATTGATTTCAGCCAGACCAGATTTCACCCAGAGGGAGAGGCAGCCGCCTTGCAGCGAATAAAGCAGGAAATGGAACTCGGCTATCCTGAGCTCTATTCCAGTGTCTATTCGCCAGCTCCTGCTAATCCTCAAGAAGAATTCTTCATTCCACAAGAAATGAAAAAAGAAAAAAAAAGGCTTGGTTTAAAAAAAAGTGTTAAATTAACTTCTAGCATTGCCGCAAGCCTTAGCAATGCACCTTGTCAGCAAATACACTCAGCTTTCACAAGGGTCTGTCCATTACTTCTTAGCAGCACGTGTGCTTTGGGCAACCGAGAAGCCCCTTTGGAAAGTAAGCAACAGCATCTGTTTTGCAATTTAACCAGATTAGTAGCTCCCCCATTCCACCTTTTCTAGAAAAATAAATAAAGGGGAAAGTAGCAGTTTGAGGAGGCTTTGAATCACCTGGGTTCAGTCTGAATTTCTGTACAGCTGTCCTGGTTTACGTAGCTGCAGAAAAGGATGGGCAGCTCAGGGACCTTCAAGGCCAGGCAGCTCTGGGCTCCCCTGGGGACCAGCTGGGACATTGTGCGTGCTCACCTAGGCACAGCGTGCTGCTCTGCACTGTGCTCACCTTGGCACAGCGTGCTGCTCTGCACTGTCTGAGGGATTTGAAACGGCTTGCGAGCTTCACCCATCACTCCAGTGGGTTCAGGATCAGACATTTTTAAAGAAACTGCCTCACCTCAAATTTTGCCATATAAAAGCCAGGTGTTCAGTGTAAGTAGCCTTTGTATCTGTTTTACAAGATCACCAAGTCTCAGCTAGGTACAATGAGACATGTGGAATCAGGACATCTGACCATGTCCATCCGTGTCACCCTGGACATCTTCTGGTGTACAAAAAGGATCAAAACCTTTCTTATCTCCTGCTCTAGACACCTGTGTGTTTCTCTCCAAGATATTTTAACTTTTAGTCAATTTTTTCCTCTAGACAAAGTTTTTAAATATCTTTTTTCTCCATTTATTTTTCTTTAGGTAAAAGGGAGCCTGAACTGTGTATTGGGGCACAAACCTACTAGCAGTGTGGCTGATGGAAAGGAGTGACATAATGTACATTTTCAAGCCTAACTAATGACCTGGGACAGTGCTGTGCAGTGATACTACCTGGGACTGGGGGTGAGGAAGGCCGTGTTAACGGGGCCGGGTGTCTGGGCTAACTGCCCTTGTTCTCGGCAGGCTGTGCAGCTGGAAAGCCGGCACGGTGGGGTCTCCCTCTGTCATTTCTGCTGCTGGGATGCAGTCGCCCAGTGCTAGTGTGGGATTTTTAGAAAAACAGCTTCTCCAGGCTGTCAGAAAATAAGCCCCATTGGAAGATTCTCGGCCTGGGCATGCAAAAATTAGGGGAGTCCACATTTCCTGCTGCATCCCCCTTCTTGAAATCTGTCCTTTTTCCTATTTTGTTTGTTCTGAATTCTTCTTATGTTTCTTTTAAGAGGATTCAGAAAGACTCTAATTAACTGTGAAGGCCACAGAATGCATGGAGTTTGAAACTAGACATGCTCACCCATTCCTAGCCCAAGTACAAACCAAGCATTTATCCATGTAGGCCAAGATACAAAACCCTGCCAGAGTAAGGAAAAGCCACACTAAGCCCGACAGCCTATCCTGAACCTGTCCAGCTGCATTTGTATCACCAAAGTAGCAGCCACCAGCAGCTGATGGCATTACACACTTGTTCCCACCGAGACCGACTTATTGACAATGGACTTACTGTCTACCTCTGTGTTTATTCAGCAGAAATGTCTGGGTTTGCCTAGCACATACAATGAAGGGTTAAGAAGCCATGGTGCACAGAGCAGTAATTCACTTCAAGGTGTTTCTTATTTTGAAAAGACTTGCTCTTTTCATTTTCACTGCAGTTTAACTTGAGAAACTGGTTGATACAATCAGTACAAAAAGAATATATGCATATATTTATGCATACCAGGTTACACATTTATGTTGCACACGTATATGGTTGTACATACTGAATAACACATTTAATTGCCACTGAGTCTTTGGGTTGAAGAGTTTCATTACTCTCATCTGCATGGAGCTTAAATTTAAATCTCCTTTGGCAGAGGAAGGTCACTTAAATCACTGCCAGGAGCTAGCTGCTCACTGTACTCAATTACCACTTACAATCTTTCATCGCTGAGGGCTTCTGCACTGCAGACTGTCACCTAACTCCATGTTTTCAAGTGTGCATGTGTGGCAACATAGAGAACAGCAGCAGTGAAGGGTCACTGGCATCTGCCTGTGAATCTGGTCTATCGGGGTCCCAAACTACAGTGCTGTTACGCCACAAAACACTTTGCTCTGGAAGCCGTCTTGCTGTCTTCAGCAGAACTATTCATGGAGCACAAGCCCGTGTAAGACAGGGAAAAGTATGGGCACATAACCCTAGGCATGTAATAACCCTGCCAGTTTTCATGGACTAATTTAGGCAGCTTGCGCTGAGATCCCATTCATACATGGCTATGTCTAGCTGGATTTCCTTCGCGGTTCAGTTTAGAGACGCCAAGTAGCTTTTGTTTCATTATCACCATTGATTTGGTCATTTGGGTCTTTATATCGGTGTATTCATAAATAATGGTGCGGGTAGTTTTGGGTGACCTGTAGGGAGGTTGAATATTGGAAGCCAGATAATTTTTCCCTGTTGGTTGTACTCGTGTTGGCAGTTAAACTGGTGAGTCAATAACAAATACATAACTGCTTTTAGAAAGAGAAACTGGGTCCATTTAGCTTACAGACTAAATATAGATTTTGGTGCCCAGGGTTCATATTGTCGATTGGATGCAGTAGTTCTGTTTTCTTTTATCAGGGCTTTCAGTAATAAGTGGTACATCAATGAATACTTTGCCTCCAGGTGGTTCTGTTTATACAGCTTTACTGCTTAGTGTCCAGTTTTCTGAAAAGTGGATCCACATTGATTTGTGTAATAAAGGTATTTGGACCAATAAACCAACTCATGCCTTCAGTGTCAAACTCATGTTAAATTGAGCGGACTTCGAGAAAGACCAATTCACATAATAGAAACCATGTAAGCTATTTTACATTTCCATCAATCGTGACAGAAACAAAAAAAACCCCTTTAAGCTTACAGATTTTCTTGTTTAAGGTCTTAATCCTTCAACAGAAATACTTCTGAAGGGGCTGCAAAGCTCAAAGAGCTATATGAGCTTAACTATACAGGTTTTGCAAACCAGTGGACTTGGAGGCAAAGGAACTGGTCTAATGCCAGACCAAGACACTATTCCGAGTGCTGCACCCTCCATCGGACTGGCTGTTCAAGCAGAACACGGGACACCTGGTCCCTCATTTTGGCTCTGCCGTGTGGCTGCAGGGTGGAAATAGGCTTCCCCCCAGTTCCCAGAGATGAGAGAATATTCCAGGGAAGAGTGATACCTTTCTTCCCCCTTGCCATCCCCTTGGCCGTAGGATCCTGGGCTAAGCAAGGGCACTCCCTGTTGTTACCTTTTCATGTTAGTACAGCTCTAGCACAAGTGTAGCACAAACAATAGGGACTTCAATCCCTTGCAGTTTTAATCCTATATATTAGGTAGCTGACGAAGCTGCTCTGCAGGTTATGCTCTGGCAAGGGAGCAAAAGGGTTTGGGTCAGCTTTTGGCTGGGCCCACGGAGAGGAGGAGCAGTGGGATGCAAAAGTTGGTAGTCCTCCATGGAGCAGGTGCCTCACATCTAAGGACAAGTAAAGGACATGGAAAACCTGCCCGTGGCCCAGACGGGGAGTCTGCAGCGAACAGAAGGGTAATCCTGACCACTTGCTCTCAGTGAATGCTCGAAGAGCTGATCCCAAGGGAAAGGGCGGTTAGTGGAGATTCATACTCTGCTGAACTAAAAGAAAAGGCCCTTTCTCCATTGCTTTTCACTGTTAATCAACCAGCGTATAGCTCTTCTGGCTTCATGTGAAGCTTGACCCCACGTGCTGTACAGGGACACCCTTTTGACCCATGCTCTCCTGCAGTTAATGGCTCACGCCATAAAGTGTTCCTATGATCATTAAAATAGGAGGCGTTATTCGCTCCTCCATCATAGTCTGATGATCTAATTTTAGTCACGCTGAATGCAGTAATGACCCTATATTATCACAAGAAACTATTAAGTCGCCAACGCAAAGGTTGTTCCTATTGATTTTCTTCTCAGGTTGTCATGATAGAGCACAACTAATGAATGGAAATCCCCCGTCAAAATCATTTCTAAATAAATTACTCTCATAGAGCTTTTACTCTTAAATAGAAGAATTGATTTAATACTTTAGTGGCCTTTCTTCTTTCTAAACTTGCAGTTCAACCAACTCCAGATTACATTTATGAACCAGGCTTGTTCTGTTTCAGCTGGTTATGAATTGCCTTCAAGGAAGGCACACAGAAACTCAGTGACGAGTGCAGAGAAGGAAATCCCTGAGGGCTTGCGTCACAGAATTAAAGGGTTTCTTTTTGTGTGCCTGGTCTGTATCAGCTGTAGGGCTGTGTTAGGTGCTCTGCAAACACATATTAAGAGGCTGGTTTTCCTCCTTTTTGAAGAAAGGATTTTTTTTTAAACTTCCATTTCATATTGCATGTTATGATCTGTGGTACAGAGCCCAGTTCATTTTCTGAAGGTGACACGAGACGTCTTTTTCCAAGACCCAATCCAACTGCCCAGGTATATTTTTTTGGCTGTGTTCAGCCAAATAAAACAATTACTGTTTGTGCCAACTCTATTCAGAGCTTTTTCCAACTGAGGAGGAAATATTACACATGTATTTTTTTTCTCAAGGTTATTTCCACAGCATTGAAGAAGCCTCAGTGCAAGGGTCAGACTCACTGTGGGACAGCAGAAGGGCTGCAGACCTAGCTTCGTGTTGGCTAGGACTCATTGACATGTTGCAGGGTCGTGTTTACTAGATTTATTGAAGTTTTCCCCAAATCTTTCATCTGCTTTAGCTAAGCTCCTGCGAAAATACACCCTGCTCCATCTTGACCACAGGTCAAGAGAGTGACCGAGTGAGTGGATGCCATCGCCTCACCCTTTGAAATCCCGTCTAGACAGCACACATCCATCCGCACGCGCTGCGCGGCTTTGAGCACTGCCTCGACAGCCTCCATCAGCCTCTTGTGCTTCCTCCCATCGCTAACCCAGATCTTTGCTCACGCTGCTCCGTGTTAAACCTGGAAGCCCCAGGGGAGGCTGGGCTCTCTCTGATTGCTGACACCTCCTCATTAGCTTCCCTTGCACTCCCAGGGGAGCCCTGTGCCCGCTCAGCTGAGCTGAGAGCTGGGACTTGCTCAGCTGCTATCTGGTTGCAGTCTGACATGTGTTTCTTGTTTTTAACCTGTGCTGTTAGGACTGTTAAGTGAACATTTTCATCTCTTACTCTGCTTTGGCTTTCCTGCGTGGCTTTTCTACACCCCTCAGGCAGCACCCACTGGGTAACTTGCTCTCTCCAATAAGAAGTAACACGCTGGTGAACAGCAGTTTCCTGCTCCCGCTTTATAAGTTGCCAGTGCCTCCTGCTGCTCCTGCTTTGAGGACCGGTCTCATTAATTTGTGTTGGGTTGGAGATCTCCTACAGGGCTGAGCTCCTCATGTCAGGGAGATGGGATGGATTCTGGGCTCTCCTTTGGTTCATGTTCTGCTTCTGCACATGCCTGATGTTGAGCATCCCTTCACCCCAGGAACTGTGTCCTGAGATGGCCTCAGGCTGCCCAAGGCAGGCGCTTGCCAAAGGACCTGGCTCTAGAGGGGTGATCGCTACTGAGTTGAAGGTGGATATGTTTGTGCAATTATCCAGCAGCCTCTGATTACCTGATCCTAAATCATTATTCTAGCAGATGCTTAATATTTTGCTGCCACTTCGCAGCCACTTCATGGCTCATGACAGCAATACTGCTGACTCAGCTGTTCCAGGAACACAGCACTGGCTTGGAAATCTTGCTTTTTCAAAACAATGTAGATGCAGGAAGTCTCTTCCTGATTAATATACAAAAAAAAAAAGCCCTATTGAAAACCAAGGTGGAGTATGGTGGGCGCGCATACAAGACGCAGTCCATATGCCAAGGACAGTCTAACTACAGAGAGAAAACAGGCAGCCGGAAAAAAGTAGCAGGCACTGTGCAGTAGCACTGAGAGGTCACAGTCGAGGACTAATCATAGCATTTGACAGACCTTTAATGTTTCTCCAGTGTTAATTTTATACTTGCATTTCAAACAGGGGGTAGAAATGGCCTATCTTCAGACAAACCCTCAAATTTTGTGGTAATACTAGGACTCTGGGAGCTGGGGTGAACAACCAACATTGCCTGACGTGACTGCAGTGTCAGGGTCCCATGCTTTCATTTAGCTCAGCCACAAGGCTGTTGTGTGATTCCTGGTAAGGTCAAATCCTTTCCACAATGGAAATTTTATATTTAAAAATGCTTTTTGTTCATGTTAAATTTGGCAATCCCTTCCTTTCCCACACTTTCTTCTTTCCCTTTTCTAAGAAACTCTGGGTCTAAAACATCAGAAATAATACAGTAATTTTGTGAGGGTTTTTTTTTTTCTTTGCTTGAAATAATTTAGCATTACTTGGGAGAATAAACTGATTAACACTTTAATTGAACAGTTCCGCCTATCTGGTAATTATTTCGAACTAGCAAGTGGATCTCAAGCCCATGAGAGTTAAAGATAACCTTTTACCAAGGCCAAATGACACCAACTCTCTGAACATGGGATTAGGAAGGGATTGTTATTGCCTCTGTACACCTCTGACAATACTTAACTTGTTGTGGGAGGCCCCCAGCCCTCTGAAGATGAGGCAGTGCAGGACAGACTCCAGCGTGAGGTCCATGCCTCCCTAGACACTGGTATAGGACCTTGAGGTGCACAGGTCTTCTACGCTGGTCATTTTGCTTAGGACAAATCCGCCAAGATTTCCTGTAATCTAAGAGTTGCCTCTTAGGTCTTTGATTTCTCGCACTTACGTTTCATCTGTGAATGCAATTCCAAAGTACTCCTTCTCCTTCAGGTTGAAATGAGATGCCACCAAGTCGAGCAGCTCCTTGGCCAAAAGCTTTGGCTGGAAAACAAGAATGAAAGAAAGGGATTAATGAGGAGAACTTGGATATAACTGCACTGTTCTTCTGGAGGGAAATGCTATCCTTGAAGGTACTCCACTGCTGTTGCTTTTATGTTCCCTCTGGTCTTCAAGCTAAATCTGCAAGCAACATTAGCTCCTTGAAATGAGCAGTAGTTTCCCTCTTAGGTAAATAATAAAAACCTGGTGATTCTGACCTCTTCAGTGCTTAATGCAGACAGATCACCTGCTGCCTGCCAGTGTTCAGATGTACCATGACCAGCACACTCATGCCTCTCTGATAATTTTAGTTGTATCAAGGACCTTTGCAAACACATTTCAGACACCCACTTTCACACACATTGCACACATATAGACTCATAACACCAAGAAAATACATAGTGCCAAAAGATAGGATGTGACAGGACCAAAGGAGAAGCAAATGACAGAACAAAATAGTTTCTTATTCAATAATGGTTGTCATTTGGGAATAAGGATGTGTTCTCAAATTTAGGTACTTGGAAGGAAAGAGAGGAAAGTAACACACACTTTCAAAATACTCTTTGTAAGAGTATGAAAGCCAAGCTCAGAGAAGCTGTTCACCTCGTACAGAGGATGGTGCATTACTACCACAGGGCAATTCTGCTTTTTCTGCAAAACCTTATTCGACTTTCAAGTCTGAAGAGTCCTTCTTCCTCTATGAATTTTCACCAGCTCTGCTGAGCTCTTGTGTTACGTATGGGACTACTGATGTCTTGGCTGTGACAGAGCTCTTGTCCTGACTATCACTGATAGGAAACAGGGGTACAAAGGATTTGGGTAGATGCAACCTGTAATCCCACAGCCTGCAACAGCCCCAGAACCCAGAGGTGCCATGGTTACAGCAGCACTGGCACAGTGGGGTCAGAGATCCCAACAGTGTTCCCTGGTGACTGCTCAAAAGGATTTGGTCTACAAATCTCTGTGCGGCAAGCCTCAGTGAAAATAAAGCTGTCTGCAGGCTTGACTGCCCCAACAAGTCTCTCAGGCAGCTGAGTTAGAGTTACCCTAGACATGAACCTGTTGTTAAATGAATGACAAAATGATGATGCTGTGCAGAAGATGGGTGGCAGGGACCTGAGAGCCCTGCTGTCCTAATTGACTGCGCTGTCCTGCAAATACAAACACAGATTGTGTTGAAAAAAACCCTGATTTGTGCTTAAATCCCAAACAGGTTCATAAGACTCTCAACCTCTCTCTAAAAATGCCCCTAAACCCAGCACTGTCATAGTATCTGACACAGCTGAGACAAACTTGGAGTATACTTCGCTGGCATTCAAGTGAGAGTTACGCTGTCCTCCACCCACCGGTCTCCCTGCTGTGTCCTAGTGTGGTTGCCAGCAGTGTCCATTCTGCTCCTTTGTGCACCCAGCGCAAGGGTGGTTTCTAGCAAAGACAGAAGCAATAGCCATGCCTAAATGCAGCACTAGCTTAAAGCAGCGCCCAAAAATGAAGAGAAGTTGCTGTGTAGGAAGAGCAGCCTGGCAGATAACAAACAGGTGGGATGTGACTAGCTTCATTTGAATTCCCGAGACAGACTTCTCAGGCACAACCGTTGGAGTCTGCTGTGTCTATGCTGCCTGCTACGATGCCTTTCCCAGACTCCTGAACAGCGCTCAGAGCTGAGTAGACCAGGCGTGGGGCCATGGTCATGTCCCTTGTCCCCCTGGGTCCCTCCAGGGACTCAAACAAAGAGCACATCAGCTACACCAGTCTTTCTGGAGACTCCTCAGAAGCTTCTCTCCTGGCACTGTGCTGAGTGGGATGGACATTCCCAGAATCCTTCTCTGCTGTAAGATGAACCTCCCTTTGTCAGAGCATTTTAAGGACAAGCTACAGTCTGGCTTATAAGGTACTGTGATGAAGAGGATGGTAAGACTGACAGGTGGATTCATTGACACAAATGCTCAGTTCATGTACTTACTGGGGGCACTAGATGAGTTTTCAGCTTAATGACGGAAAAACAAACACAAACTTGTGCAGGAGAGAGAGGAAGGGGGGGTTGTGCCTGTCAACGTGCTATTTGAGAGCCTAAGTCTTCCTTTTCCTCCACCTCTGCCAAAACCTCCCTGCTCCTTTCTCTCCCAGTTGGGGCAAACCCTCTGCACCAGGAAGGCATTTCTTTCCAGCCCAAGAGGAAGGGTGGGAGTGCATGGCCAGTGATGGGTGTAGGGGAGGGCAGGACTGACCCCTCCACAGCCAAGGCCACTGGAGGAGGTGAACCTGGGCATCCACATCACAGCACACATTGCAAACTGGTGGCTGGTGGTGCTGGTGGTGCTGGTGGCTGGCACTGCCTGGCTCCCAGTGCTCTGGGGTGACTCCGTTGTGTGATAAATGGTCAATTGTGCTGCCAAGCAAGGAAGCAAGATATCAGCCAGCCTTTCTGGCTGTCCCACCTGAGAGGGCAAGGGTGGGGAAGGGTGGTGAAAAAGCATGGCTCAAACACAGCAGTGTTTTCCCAAGCCTGTGTTAAGCACTTGGAAGGGATAATTTGAGCTTTCATATTTTGCAAGAAAGCAGAACAGAGCAATAAATGGCTGATGTGAAACAGGTTGCCTGTGGACACGGGGAAGCGATGGGTCCCTTGGCTCCAGCCAGCCAGCGCTGTCACAAGGGTCAACTGGACAAGGGGTAAAATCCCCTTCTGATGTCCAGCCACATCATGGAGAACTGATGCCCAGCGTCCCTGGCCCCACGCACTGCTGCATGCAGCCCCAGGAGTCGACTGAGGAGCAGAATCTGAAAGTACCTGCCTCCAGCCACCCTCCTCGGGCAAGGTGGGTAAATGCAACATGTTGCCTCCTTGTCTCTGCTGAGTGAGACCTGGCTGCTGAAAAAGCCCCAGAGAGGTGGTCAGCACACTGTGACAACCTTCCCTTCTCTACTGCCTGGTGGTGGCTGCTTCTCCCCAGCATGGACCCTCTCCTGTCCCTGGGGCTCGGCAGGGGCACGATCTCCACTGCCCTTGCTGTGGGGCCTCCTCCAAAGCCTGCGACAGCAGATAAGGCAGGATAACCCTTTGCCTTGCAAGATAAGGGAAAAGAACAATAGATGCAGGCCCAGCACTGGAGCGGTGCCAGGTTAGTTACTGGGCCAGCATCCCTGAAGAGGCTTACAGCAGTATAGTTAAGCCCTGCTAGTCCCCTCCAAGATTACTTTCCACTCTCCTCTTAAGCTCTGCAAGGTTATTGTCCTTTCCAGTGGGATGAGTCCTGTGTTCTCCCAACACAGACTGGCAATCTGAGTCTTCAGAGGAGAGAGGAGGAAGGTGTCTTCTCCAGGTAACAAAGACTCCTGAAGACAAACCTGCACAGCAGGGATAAGGGCAGGAGAACCCTGCCAGGCACAAGCTGAGCTGCAGCCCGTCCTGCAGTCTCAGGAGACACCCACGCGCTCAAAGTTAACGGTCAATCTGCTTGCCGTTCGTGATGGGAACGGCTGAGCAATGACCTGCTTTCATGTGAGCCGCGCAGACAAAGAGTTCATTAGCGATGCCTGTGGCAAGTTGTTTTAATTCATTATTAATTTCTGGACTTCATTCTCCAGAGGGATATTCATTTTGCATTAATAAAACTTCCATCACAGACACATTGGAGATGATGGGGACTGGTCTCTGAGAGCAGGAAAATCAATAGAAAGGGGTCCCAGGACCTTCTACATCCAGCATAGCAGGATGATCAGCAAGATAGCTTGTGAATCCTACAGGCATAAATCAGGAGTAATATGTGGCATTCAAACCGGAAACCGAACCGTGTCCTCAGTGCTGCAGAGGTGGACTGTGATGCTCTGTGAGCTGCCCAGCCAGCTGCTGAGACCCCTCTGCATCTGCTGCTCTTCATCTCCTTCCTACCCACACCTTCCTGGCACCCTCCATGTAACCTGCATCAGAAAAAGCAGCCTGGGGGAGCATGTCAGAGCTGCGGCTGGCTGGCCTGAACTTGGGACAGGGTACGACAGCAGGAACCCTTCCGCTGGAGCAGCAAGGACTGAGCGTGCTTTGCTGGTGGGGGTGGGTTGTCAGAGTGACATTATTCAGTCAGGGTTTCCCCTGCTGCTCCCTCCCGCTGCAGGACCCCCTCTGGAAAAATATATGTGAAGAACAATGCGCTGTAAATCAACTGTTATTTTCACTAGAGGAATCAGCAGGAGCCTGGTCATGGTCCCAGCATGCTGGAGCTGGGGCCCTGGGGATTAAGAGCCTGATCCTGGTGAGGCTTCTCCCCCTGCCAGGAGGAAAGGCTGAGGGACCCATGCTGTCGTATAGTGGAGTCTCTGGCACACACACTAGCCATTTTGTAGTTGAAGACACTGTCCCTGAAGCTTTTCTGCACAGCAGGAAGGCTGGTGCTTCCACGGCTCTGGACTCCTACCTCTGCTGGACTTGCAAATACGAGGGCACTTTCCACAAAACTTAGTACCTCAATATTGGGTCAATGGATCCACCTGCCAGGCATGATGGCATCAGTGCATCATCCAGGGTATTCCTGGTCATCTGTAGGGTGGGCAACTCTTCTGTGAAGTCAAACCTGAGTTGGGAACACTCTGAGGTTTCTCCCCTCCCCCTTGTAGAGGCAGAAGAGCAGAGAGGGACTCTTTAGGGGGCTGTCTCCTCATTAGCAGAATGACCCAGACACCCTTCACTGCGCCCTGGGCCATGCCTGAGCGGTTTATCTGACATGCTGCATAATGCTCTGCAACCACAAAGTACTTCTGCCTCAGCAGCCAGGAACGCAGCGAGAACATGGCCAGGGCTCTTCTGCAACCCCAGCTCCTGCAGCCTTGAAGCAGTGAACTTATTTCCTCCTCCCCCCCAACCTTAAAACAACTGAAGTTTGTTCAAAGAATTACTTAGAGGAATATTATTAGTGGTGTCAGCAGATGATAGAGAAAGAACTGAGCCTCAATAGCAGCTCTGTGACTTCAGCTTGCACCAAGAAAGGCTGTGAAAAGGCACCCAAGAC